TCCGGTCTCGCAGCATCCCTGGCCCGGCCCGAGCCGCCGCGGCGCTGCCCGTCCAGGTGCGCCCGGCTGCGGGGGGGAGGCGGCGCAGCCCGGGGGCAGAGCGCGTGGGTTATCCCCCTTCCCTCCCTCTAACTGTTCAACACGAGAGGGAAAACCCTCCCAGCCCGTTGACCGTGCGTGGCCCGGGCACGCAACGCCGCTGTATGCGCTTTAATTTATGAATGAGGAAGTTGGGTCCCGTTTTGGCAGGAGCCCACGTGCTCCTTATCTCTGCTTTGGCTGTGGAGAGAGGGAGAGGGAAGCGACAGGGGGAAAAGGCGGGTGCTTTCCGGGGGCACCTGCCAAAGCTGGGTCCTGCAGCGCGGGAAGGCGGTGGGGTGTTGCGTCCGCCTCCGGGATGAGCCTCCCCTCAGCCGCCCCTGGTGTCTTGTCGTTGCAGGGGCTTTTCCTCTGTGGTGGCCCTGGGAGCCAGCATCATCTGTAACAAGATCCCAGGTCTTGCCCCCCGGCAGCGGGCGATCTGCCAGAGCAGGCCCGACGCTATTATCGTCATCGGGGAAGGGTCCCAGATGGGCATCAACGAGTGCCAGTTCCAGTTTCGCAACGGGCGCTGGAACTGCTCTGCCCTGGGAGAGAGGACCGTCTTCGGGAAGGAGCTGAAAGTGGGTACGTTGCCTCTCTGCTCGCTACTGACCGGCTCCCACCCGCATGACACCAAAAGGGGGGCACACGGGGAGTGTCACGGGGCACAGCTGTTGGCGTTAGGAAAGACCAGCTAGCTCACACAGCTTGTACCAGCCAGGGCAGGACCGTCGCCTTGAGCGTGTTCACAGGGATGCTGTGGCTGTTGTTACCAACGTGACGGTCATCTCTGCTTCCTCCTAGCAGGGTACCTGCCGTGGCCCTTGCTGTGGTTCAGGAAAGCAATTCTACATGCGTTAGCTTCCACCACAGTATTTCGCTGTCCTGCTCTCACAAATCCTTTCTGAAAGATTTTCCATTTGTGTGCACAGGACAGCAGCCTTATTTGTGTACTTAAGGATGAGAAAAAGGTGTTTGATTCTGGTTAAAGGTAGTTGTCAGAGACTGAATGCTGAGCGGGGTTAGAATTACACTTCTGGGGTGCAGGCACCTCACCAGTGATACTGGCCTGATGTTTCTACCTGTTTGGACTAAGGTCCGGCAATCAGTCTCTTTACAAGAGATTTCCACCACACAAAATAGTTATTCTATAGCAACTATATCTAGTGCCCTCTCTCCCACCAGAAAGAATGGGTGTGTTCCGGTTTGAGGTGTCAGGGCACTTACAAAACCTGTTCCAATCAACAGGCAGAAGATCCCACTTCCAGTTTCCATTTTTTTCAGTTGTTGCAACAGTACAAAATACTTCAAAATTCTTAACTAAAACAGCAGTAATAATGACAAACACAAATACCTGAGGAAACAGAGCTGAGGTTAAAACTCTCATACCCCTGTACTGCAAAACACATACTAGTGGAGCTTACTCAATGTTCATTGATTCCACAGCACTTAAAATACAAAGAGCGAGGAAAAGTCTTTTCCAAATACAGGTATAGCCATCTTTAGAGCCATCACTGAAAGCTAATCACTCACAGTGTGGCATTCCACATCCAGAAGTTGAAGCTGGGATCTGTGGTTTCCACCCTTGAGGTCTTTCTGCCCCCTCCCCATCTAAAATGTAGGTGCAAAACCCCAGAAAATCAGTCAAACAATGCTTAGCATGATATAAACCACGGATGTTTCATGAGAACGGAAGAAGTGACCGAGGACAGAAGCTAGAAGAGCCCTGAGCAGTTGTACAGCAGCTGTGCCTGGCTTCTAGCTTATTAGGAAACCCTCTGGACTGGACTGGCTCCAGTCACCGTCTAGTCATATATGGACAAATGGCAGGATGTGGCCCTAGTACCTCATTCCTTGCATTCTCATGAAATGCAGAGATACAGCATTGCCACTCTGCTTCTGGAACTCCCGAGAACGCCTGGCATTAACTGAACATATATTTTATCACATGTGTGCACGCTGACATGTGTATTTTCCAAAACTTAGAGATATTTAAGGAAAGAACAGAAAGAGAACAAGACGACTAAATTTGAAAGCCCTGTGTGAGTTACCGATCTTTCAACGCCTTTGATAATCAAACAGAGTGAGTCAAGTAGGGAATGTAAAAAACACCCTGCACAACATTGTGAAACATCTGAAAATGGACCATTTATTCAGATTAGCTCATTGTTTCTATTCCTTGAGCCTAGATGTTCCTGTCAGTGATCCATGCAAGTGTTTGCCACTTATGTCAGTGAAGAGTCCATTTGGATGGCTGACAGGTTTGGGCTCATTTAGTCTAAGAGTAACATTTCCTTAAAAAGAAAATGTGAGAAGGTTTTCTTCTTCTTCAACAAATCATAAAACTGCGGAGTTATTGTGGTCTGTTGTATAAACATGCGCTCAGTTCCTGCCCCCCTCCCAAAATTGAATTATTTAGCTAGCGGGTTATATTTAGGTCCTTTTAAAGAAAGTCAATATTAAAGGAAGTAGACTTTGATCTGTCTTTGAGGTGATAACTCTTAATATGTTCTATCTATCCATTATGAGGCTAAGATGGATAGGGCAAATTCATTGCTGATTTCAGAACAGAGTCAAGTGTTGAATGGCATCCAAATTATAAAACTCATTTAAAGAATAACCAAAAACTTCAAATTTAAACAGGTTATACATTTACATTTGAAATGTAATTTTTACATCGGTAAAAATCACACAGGTTTGAAATCTGCAATGGTGAATTTTACTTGCACACAAGACATGCATGGTGTCTCAAGGATGAAAATACTCAGGCCCTCAAACACCATGAAATATTATAACGTAACCACTCCTGCTCAGGTTGTCTCCTTGTTCTTCCGCTTCTTGCCTATCAGCGTGTATAGAAACCTAGACTATCTGACACAGCTCATCTTTCTACGGCTACAAAGAAAGAGCATCTGTTTCCTACATTTCTCTCTCTTTCCCTAAGATCTCTGTGTCGGGGTGTGCTCTAGGTTGCCATTCAGAGACATAAAGGCTAATATTTTGCTCTGGTTAAAAAGGGTAAAACCTATGTGCCATAAAGCCATCAGTCAAATTTGGTGCCCAGAAACAGGAGATCAGCCCTGCGTGCCCTACCCTAAACAGGAAAGAGAGAGAGACGTGTGATGTGAAGGACCTTATACCCTATAGGACGTGTTTTAAGGTTACTGTGCATAAGAACAATCCAGGTTAACATTCGGGCAAAGATATTGTACCCTTGTAGCTTTTTTAATTAGCAGCAGCAGCTCTAGATTCTCAGTCCTTTGACGTGGTGTGTATTACAAAATCCTATTCAAACAGCGACTAATACATTAGTACCTTTTATAGCATTCAAAGACTGATTATGTTCCTCTGCCAATTGCGTCCTTAAAGTTATTACCTCGGAAGTACGCGGGGCACCTTTGTCTTGCCACTTGCAATAAAGTCAGTGGGCCACACATGACCTCATTCCGCTTTCTCTATTAGAGGGCTTCGCTCTGCCTCTGGAGTGGCACTGATGTACTTGCTCTATGATTAGGATATGACTTCAGAATGACAGTAATGTGGTTCGCCTTGCCACTGCACGGCTGAACGCGTGCAGCGAGCAAAGTCTAATATCAATTTGGGAGGATGTGCTTAAGTAACTCTTCTGTTAATAGGATTTGCGTGTGTTAGTCCATACAAATAAGTTCCCCTGGATACCACAGATTCTTGCAAACTATTTCCCAACCCATGATTTTGATAGCACACCAAGCTAAATCTCTTCAAAACCAGGTTTCATTACTTTCACCTTTACTCTGTAATCTGTTTTATGAATGTTATGCAAAGGTACCCAAATTATTTAAATTCTCTTGTTGACACTGCAGGGTGATTCAGGAGGCCCAAGTTCTCGTGGCTCTGCCATTGCGTGGCTGAGGGACCCTGGCACTCTCCTCCTCTGTGTTTCTCTTTTCCTATTTTTAAAATGGCAACAGGGATACTAGCCTTGGTGACACACTTGGAAGTCTGTAGAAGGAAAGCATCAAACAAAATTTTCCTGTTCTAATCTGTAGCATGTATGTATCTGCATTTTAACAAATTCACATATAATCTGTCTTCCAGTGCTAATTTAGTTGTAGAGTTATAGTTAGCAACCATTTAAATTCACCCATGCTTCATATGGCATATTTGTGATCACAGACTTGAGTTTCCAGCTCGTTATAGCATGCTTCCAACCAGCACACAGCATATACTCTCCGTTTCTTGTGTCATTTTATCTAGTTTGTCCTTCAAAAGAGAGATTCTTCCCTACTGACATACTGTGGATATCTTATCGTGACAGCTGGTGACAATAGTGCCAATAACATGAAGAGAACTAACGGAGTAAAAGTGACATCAGTTTGCTCCAGCTGAGGACTTGGTCCAATTACGACAGGAAATGATAAAAGTCGCAATCAAGATCAACACAAGGATTTTTTTCTAGACAATTCTGTAGTCACCTTATTAATAATGTAAAGTCACAAACAGAATTTTTAAAATAACCATGGAGATGACGCAACACTGCAATTATGGACACTTTTAAAAACAAACGTATTCTTTACAGTGGTCAGCAGTTCAGCTCTCGAAGACAGCCACAATCAAAAACAAGGTTTTAAAGCAGGATAGGCCAAAAAACTCCTGCCCACCTCTCTTCAGGTGAAATGTGGTTCAGGCCTAAACATCTGAGCAACCAGGGATGCCTTTGATAGAATCTGAAAATCGGGTTTGGGCTCTGGTGGATCGCAGCAAGAGCAGGTGCTATGGCGAAGGCCTTTCTTCAGGTGCCTGAGTGGCCCATTTTGCAGTGTGCAACCTTGTGAACAGGTAGCCAACAGTAACTTTGCTGTTTGTGATAAGCACAGGCCAAGGAATAACTGTCTCAAATAATTGCCTTAGGATATGCATACATTTCATGGTACCTAGAGGACAGCACCATATTGCCATCATAGGGCAAAAATACAAAACCATGTCCTTTTGTCATAACTGAGCAGCACTGCCACTATTAAATGAGACTTCCCAAGTAAAAATAATACAAACTGTTTGACTGCATCTCTGCAAAGTGACACAGCAAAGTGGAAACTCGTTGCAGTGCAGATCTATGAAAAGAAAGGCACTACAGCCTTGCGGAACCTGTCCTGGACCCTGCATGGGAGAGTATGGAGGGAATCAGCCGAGGGCTATGAAGACATGCGGTGGTCCCTGAAGAGCATTACAGCAAAACTGGTTTCAACCAAGTTTTCATCCCGGTCTTACTAAAATCCACCAATTCCTTGGGTTTTTTTACACTGAAAAATGTTTCAGTGTAATCACATTGATACCTTCATCCACCTGACATTACTCATGTGAATAAGGAAAGCTGAAATTAAAACAAGAATCCACATGGACAAACTGATCTTAAAACTTTTGAGCATAGCAGGACAAGTCAGCACCTATGTATGTTGTGCACAATGCTTTTGACTCAGGGACCATTACAGATGTACCCAAATGTACACGTTAAAACAGAAGAGGCTGTTAGCTTTCCTTTGTACAGTATACTGTTAGCTCTACACTGCTCACTGGACTGAATTTAGCAGTGATTTATTTTCCATATA